TCAGATTTTCATTCAACTACAATTAAATCATATTTCAATCGATTGAATGTGATTTCCATTAAATAAATATTATATAATAAATTAATTTATTTTAGGAGATCTTCATTCAACTATAACGAAATCATATTTTAAGTTATTCAATTTCATGTTCACTGAATAAATATCATATAATAAATAAATTTATTTTACCAGATTCTCATTCAACTATAATTAAATCATGTTTTAATATATTGAATTTGATTTTCACTGAATGAATATTATATAATAAATAAATTGATTTCAGAAGATTCTCATTCAAATATAATAAAATCATATTTTAATATATTGAATTTGATTTCCACTGAATACATATTATATAATAAATAAATTGATTTTATCAGATTTTCATTCAACTGTAACTAAATCATATCTTGATATATTTAATTTTATTTCCACTGAGTAAATATTACATAATAAATAAATTTATTTCATCAGATTTTCATTCAAGTATGATTAAATCGTATTTTAATATATTGAATTTGATTTTCATTGAATCAATACAAAGTAATAAATAAATTGACTTCAGTATATTTTTATTCAACTATAATCAAAACATATTTTTATACATGCAATTTCCTTATAATTGAATAAATATTATATAATCAATTAATTTATTTCATTAGGTTTTCATTCAACTATAAATGAATCATATTTTGATATATTGAATTTGATTTTCATTGAATAAAAATTATATAATAAATGAATTTATTTCAGTATACTTTCGTTCAACTATAATTAAATCATTTTTTAATATATTGAATTGGATTTTCATTAAATAAATATTATATAGTAAATAGATTTATTTCACCAGATTTTCATTCAACTGTAATTAAATCATATTTTAATATATTGAATTTGATTTTCATTGAATAAATAGTATATAATAAACAAATTGATTCCATCAGATTTTCATTCAACTATAATTAAATCATATTTTAATATATTGAATTTCATTTTCATTGAATAAATATTATATAGTATATTAATTTATTTCAGGACATTTTGATTCAACTATAAGTGAATCATGTTTTAACATATTGAATTTGATTTTCACTGAATAAATATTATATAATAAATAAATTGGTTTCAGAAGATTTTCATTCAACTATAATGAAATCATATTTCAATAGATTGAATTTAATTTTCATTGAATAAATATTATATAATAAATAAATTGATTTCAAGAGATTTTCATTCAACTATAATTAAATCATATTTTAACATGTTGACTTTGATCTTCATTGAGTAGGTATTATAGAATAAACAAATTTACTTGATTAGATTTTCATTCAACTATGATTACACCTTGTTTCAGTACATTGAATTTGATTTTCATTGAATAGAGATGATATAATAAATAAATTGATTTCAGGAGATTTTAATTCAACTATTATTGAATCCTTTTTTAATATATTGAATTTGATTTTCACTGAATAAATATTATATAATAAATAAATTGATTTCAGAAGATTTTCATTCAACTATAATTAAATGATTTTGAAACTTATTGAGTGTTTTTGTGTTTCGCTGATGATGATGGTGTTTTTGGAATCGTTGGATTATTTGATTATGCGAAAACGTCATGATAAGTATGTCTTTTTCTCTATCGTGCAAATTTATGAGTGGATGGCCTATAGAATTCGACGCGATTTTTGCGCCTGTTTGAGTTTTACTGTTGTTTTGTGTTGTACTTCGTATTGGTTGTGGTCTAGATGAGAAGAAAACGATGGACGTTTGCAGTGTTTACATAAGTGTATGTAAATTCAGTAGTACATAGATTGAGTAAAAAAATGTTGTATTAGTAAGAAATGGTTTCAGGAAAGGTCTGACGATCTTTTTGGATGTCAACAATTTGTTGGGAAATGCGAAAATGATTGATTCTGTTCGTGTAATTGGACTGATAGTGTAACGATTTTCTAAATACCTGTATATTCTCATTATGCTTTATTAGAAGAACTTTGTGTTTCTATATAGGTTTGTATGAAAAGAAATCGTCAGAATTTCACTGATCGTGTTTGAATTACGGTGAATATAATAAAACTATTGGTTTGAAGTTTTTGTTTGTGTTTCATCAATTTACAAGTATTTGTGTCGAACTCATCATCATGTCGTTTTCATTGATGTTATTTGTCTCTTTTAGATTGTTTAAATTTTTGTATTTTACCTTCCGGTTTGCGGTGTACAGGGTGAGTAAAAATATTATTCCAGGGGGTAACACTACAAGTAACGCTCGTCTGTGTGACTCGCTTGACCCTCGACTGCATATTCGGTCCTTTCGATTTTTTCTTCCGATCTACAGTCTTCAACACAGCTAGTATTCGATGTTCCAAAAGGGTGGGTAGGTATGCGTACGCTGACATTAACGTCAATCTCATTGTGCATAATTGTATGCGAGCCCGGATGAACATTTTGTCACAAATACATCCAATGAAATTGATACCCTCACATTGACACGCAACAATAAATCTAAGGAACCACACTATGACGACGATATCCATATATACCCAAAAAAGGAGCTTATATTCAGCTTTCTGAGAGGTACTGAAGCAAAGCTCATTTGCGACACTTTTTTGAAAACGCGCCATACTCCTTAAAATTTCTACTAAAAATCCGTTCGCTTGCTGGCACATCTGTCGACAATATTGCTTACTAGAGCGTCCGCTAGCAACATAGGGCTTACTTGAACTTCTAGCTTACAATTAATCATATTAGGTCTGGTCTATAATTGGACTGACACACTTGAAAGAAGCTCCTAATCATATTAGCCATCAAACTAGATGGGTAATTTCAAGATATTCATATACATTTCGACATTTGAATCAGTATCAACAAGAAAGCATCCCACCAAGGAAACCCATGTTTATTTCATTCAAATAGCATTCCGATAGAACAAATATAAATTCTATAAGTAATGTTTTTCCTCAAATGTACTATTCAAATATAGCACACGTGCAGAAAAGGCGTTCTCACACTTCATTTCAAAATATTTCTCAGTTCTTAGCAACTGCTACTCCTTATTCAAACCCGTATGACCTAGACTCTTGATGTCTATTTGATGAATACCAGTAGCTTGAACCATTTCTTTAAGGAACTTTGTAGTGCAGCGGCTAGTCGTTCGTCGGCGCCCCTTCGGGGCGCCACTCACGACTAGCCTCTGCTATGTTTCGTTCTATTTCTCCACAACACCATCCTTTTTTATTCACGCTTCATCTAATCCAAACTCGGCTTAATTCGAAAAACCATTAGATCTATAGCATGAGAATTCTCGCCGGGGTTTTCTAAACCAAAGCTTCTTTGTGAACTATTTCTGATTTCTTCAATTTCATTCTGCAGCTGAAAAATCAGAGTCTTATCGAAATACCTCATTAAGAAAATATTAGTGCAGTTTTCTCAAAAATGTCTGTTTCTACAGTAAAAAAAAATTTCGAAAAAAAAATGTTTTTTTGACCTGCCACAAACAGACAGACAGACAGACAAACGCATTTTATTTCATATGACCCTCCATACAGTCGAGGGAATAATGTCAAATAGTATACATAACTAATTTTATACCAAAATAAAGCGCGTCAAAATTGGGGTTTATTGATACTAAATGGTAAAGGTTATGAAAACTTTTTAATGTCGAACTTAAGACATTTTCAGAAATTTTTTTGGCATAGAAAAGTAAGATGCCATTGATTCTAAAATGGAGTAAATTTGTTTCTTGCATATTTTTGCATGGTCCGATAGAGGTAGTCGAGCTCTACCCAAGCAGACAAGCACTTGGAAAAACGCGTTTACACCCTACAATCGGGAATCACGATTGTGATCCACTTACGCTCCAAAAAATAACGCCGTTTTTTCCGTGTTTCGCGTTTTTTTGCGCTTAATTTTCACTTTTTGGCCGTGAAAACGGCGGAGACCCCAGTTTTTGAGAACTAAAACGGTTGATTTTTAAGTTCCAGAAAATTTCAAAAGTAAAAGCACGTTTTAACGCTCAAAAAGTGAGGTTTCCGCCGTTTTCACGGCCAAAAAGTGAAAATTAAGCGCAAAAAAACGCGAAACACGGAAAAAACGGCGTTATTTTTTGGAGCGTGAGTGGGTGACAATCGCGGTTCCCGATTGTAGGGTTTAAACGCGTTTTTCCAAATTCTTGTCTGCTTGGGTACAAAACTGTATATATTAAAAAATTTCTAAGCCATCTTTTTGAGACAAAAAATTCAAAAACCTACTTGGAAAACCACAAAAACGTTAAACAAACTTCTTTTTGTGTACTCAAAAAGTGAATACACTCTAGAATCTGTCAGTGTGTCGGGCCATCCGTCCGACCGCTTACACGATAACTTTTGAAAGGAGAGTCCGATCGCGATGAAATTTTCTATACAGTTGAGTCTTAACAATATCCCGGATGAGTTCGAAGATGAGAAGAATTGGCTGAATTGTTCCTGAGTTATTGCAAAAATACTCATTTTTCCCTATGCCTTCCTATGCGAAAATCGACCCATCCCGACTTTCGTAAAAAGCTTTTCCTATCATAATCAAACAAAACCCCAACTATTACATACCATTCGATAGAGAATTTTACGAGCTATAAAATGGTATATAAAACATACAGAAACACGAAGGCTAGCTCACCTATTGCAAAGAAAAATAAATGAAAATCGGTTCTGTTCTTGTCCATGCTCTAACTGATCCACAATTAGAGCACTATCTTCCGATAAGAGGTGATGCTTGAAGGTTTTCTCGGGTGAAGAACTCGAATCTGTACTCCATTTGTTTCGAAGCCCTATTTGTTGAGCAGGGACCAATAGAAATCAAGTTATAGAAAAAACGACTTTCTTAGGGTAAATTAAGGCGAAGAGTTCAAATCTGAGCTGTATTTGTCCCCAAATCCTATTGGTTGAGCAGTAGCCCATAGAATTCAAGTGTTCACAGCAAAAGTTTCCCAGGATAATTTTGATGTTCACACATTCTAGGATGACTCATCTGTCTAATTCGCTTGTTGAAATACACATAACTCTTGGACTTAAATCCGAGGTTTCCACATTTATTTCCAGAAATTTTGGAAGATCTTGGCCAACCCCCTATTTGAAACACAAGTCGTTTTTACAAAAACTGAAAATCATTTTTCGTTTTTATCAGAACTTGGGCTCAACGACGTAGCGCCAGCAGAACTCTCTCATGGTAAAAGATAAAGTCAAACACTTGTTTTTGTTTGAAAGCTTGTGTCTAGGGCTAGCCTTCCTTGTGGCCTTTTTATTATCTTAAAGAAAGACACCTCTATAAAAAGCGCGCAATTTTTTAAGAGATTTGTTGAGTCATTAAACTGATCATCTCTTTTCTTCGCTTAAAACGTAAGAATTGAAAAAAAAGAGCCACGAGAGGGGTTAGCCCTAGATACAAGATTTCAAACAAAAAAAAAAATTTAAATGTCTAAAATGAAGATCGACAGGAAAATTTTCGCGCTGCGATAGCGCTATTTTTGACCCTTGTTTCGTGAGCATCTCTGTCAAGGGTGTGGATGTGGGTGTGGGTGTGGGTGTATGGGTATGGGGTGAGGGTGTAAGTGTGGGGTGGGCTTGTGTGGTGAGGGTGTGGGTGTGGGGTGAGCTTGTGGGGGGTGGCTATGGATGTGGGTGGGTGTGGATGTGGGTGGGTGTGGATGTGGGTGGGTGTGGATGTGGATGGGTGTGGGTGTGAGTGTGGATGTGAGTGTGTGGGGTGAGGGTGTGGGTGTGGGTGTCCATGACAAGATAATACACACACATGTCCACACCCATACACCGACATCCACATGCACACCCACACCCATACCCACAACCACGCCCATGCCCGCACCCACACCACATCCACACCCACATCCACACCCACATCCACACCTACACTCACACCGACCACACACATACCCACACCCACCCACACACATACCCATACCCATACCCACACCCCACACCCACACTGCACACCTACACCCACCCCCCCCACCCCCCCCCCCCACACCCACACCCACACCCACACTACACACACCCCCACCACCCACACCCACACCCACATCACCCACACCCACATCACCCACACCCACATCACCCACACCTACACACCACACCCATACTACCCACACCCCATACCCACACCCGCACCCACACCCACACTACACACTTACACCCATACTCACACCCCCACCACACCCTCCCACACCCACATGCGCACCCACACCCGTAAAACAGCACAAAAATATATAAAAAATGACAGAAAATTTTAAGATACCTATTAAAATATATATTTATTTATGTAGAAAGATATTTTTATAGAGATAAAAAGTTAAGAAAACTAATTTTTTTGATAGTGAACATAAATAACTCTAGAAATATCTTGATGATCATTTTTTCATTTTCTCGATCTATTTTTCTAGTGTTCAAGTAAAACCGAAAAGAATAGGTGGTTAAAGGTCGAAGGGAAAAATGTCGAAAGAGAAAATGTCGAAAGGCAAAATGTCGAAAGCAGATTGTCGAAAATCTAAATCCTTTTTGGTCACAGATTTCGCCCTCACCCTCACTGTTGTGCTCTGTGAATGTGTACTGTATTACATTCTATTGATCAAATCTTAGAAAAAGTTTTTTATCAAGGATTTACAAGGATTTACAGGGGGTCATAATTTTCTACATTTTGCTTTTCTACATTTTCCTTTCGACATTTTGACACTTTACCAAACGAAAATATATATACGTACATTATGTGATAGAAAACTCTAAGTATTTAAAGAATATTTCATTTTACCTTTCAAGTCTTTTTTTACAATGAGAATATATTTTAAACTTTGACTAAAATTATTTATTTCTGATGATGATTTAGAATTTCTATCAATATACTCCATCAAGTTATAACGTTGTCAGTTCGTCTAATCTTAGTGGGACATATAAAATTAAAATTAAAATATTGAAAACAAATATTTTTTTTTGTATTTTAAAAACCTTCGAATAAATTTTTTCAACTTACTAGACACGCTGTGAAATAGCTCTAAGTGAATCAAATGTTTGTTTTTCTTGCGATCAAAATTAACATTTGTAACAAAGAAACAAACACCTGGTGTAATAAGTTCTTCTTCTTCATCAGGATATTCAGATAATTCAGAAAGATTAGCAGTAAAAGCACCAATTACTTTCATAGTAAATAAAGTATTACCGAATTCTTCTGCTTTTTGGAGATTTCGACTACACGATAAAAAAGCTTGAAATGATCCCCAATTGTCATCATCCTTGGCCATTTTTTCATAGGTAGCAATTTGGTCAGGTTTCAATGCAGCTCCTCGGTAAATGATCGTATCAAATTTTCTTTCTATATTAATTGGATCATCCCAAAGTAATAAACAAAAAGGACCTAATGTACGAATTTTACTTCTCCATACATCTTCGTGATCTTTGTCTCCTACTAATTTCATAACTTCATTCAATTTTTTGTACAGAAAACTTTCCAACGTATAAAGATAAGCACAACATTTCCATACTTCTTTCATGTCTTCGTTCTTTTTTTCTCTGAGCGTATTAGCAATTTTTTCTGCTTCTCGTTCTTTTTTAAGATTTTTTCCTTCTTCAATTATACCACGAGCAGCTTCTTCAACAAGCATTGGAATCATATTTGACATTTTCGAAGGTAATTCATCATGTTTAAGGCCCAAACCTCTTCGGACTTCAATTATAAATGGTGATATCCAACCATATCGACCACCGAATGGACGTGTTGAAATAGTAGGAAGATCCACAAAACGTGCTATTCTTAAATGTTTGTCTTCTCTTTTACGTTCAACTCGTTGAACAGGTCTTTTCTTATGACCATCAGTGTTGGATACTTGACGATTCTTTTGAAAATCAATGTAATAATTATCTAAAATGGCTCGTGGTTTTTTATCTAAATATGCATCTTCAATAATTAGATTTTCCACATCTGAATAATTACTCCATACAGCAGGCTCCTGTTTTGACCACGGATTTGGATTCGACTGCCACATCCAATCAACATGTTTTAAAACTTTTTTTGATTCTGTTGGTAGTGCGCAAGCCATAATTATTATTAATTACTTTCTCTTATTTTCAATGTTACAAATATGTTTTTTTTTATTACCTGTTTTATTATCTGAAAATGTAAAAAAACAGAAGAAGGGTGTGGGTGGGTGTGGGAGTGGGTCTGGGTGTGGATGTGGGTGGGCGTGGGAGTGGGTCTGGGTGTGGATGTGGGTGGGTGTGGGAGTGGGTCTGGGTGTGGATGTGGGTGTGCGTATGGGTCTATTTGGTGTTTCTCTTTGAAACACTCACATGCACACCCACACCCACACTCATACCCACACCCAGACCCTCACCCACCCACGCCTACGCTTCACCCCACACCCACATCCTTATCAGGGTATTCGCTTGATAAAAACAATTTGTTTTTGGTATTTTTTCATAAGAAAATTTTAAAATATTATTAAATTACGAGTCTCTAGACATTTACAATTCAAACTGAATTTTGAAAAGAAAAGACTGACGACTTTTTCCACGAATTGGGAATTTCGGGATTCTATGAAAAGAAGATGACTCGTCATCACAATACAGGAGAGGTACAGCATAACCTAATCTACTGAAATTGAGGAATACATCCAACGATTTACAAAGAACAACCTAAATAAGCAACGGTCACTGTTTCAACGACTCTTCTTTAGAAAGCAACACACACATGCCGCAAGGGGCTCTACAAAAACGAATCACAATAAAACCAACCATATGACGTCACTATCTGACTCATGAACGTATGCGAAATTCATGACTCCCGATGAAGCTGTTCCTTCAGCATTATTCATATCAGCGATGTTGGCGTACCTTTTTACAATGGGGAGACTCGGAGGTCTTTAAGACTACTCATAATATTATTAGATATAAACCCGCTTTTTTAGAGATGAGGAGACTAGGAAGTCTGGGGGGGGGGGGGGGGTCTTTAGAAATATTCATTATAGTAATAGCTATAGATTCCCTAAAAAAATGCGATCTATAGCTATTGACATGATGAATAATTCTAAAGACTCGCGAGTCTCTTATGTCGTTTGGAAATCGAATGTCCTTTTTTTTCAAAATTCAGATTGGAGCTAAATATCCGAAAGTATGTAAACCACTGTGTTGATTATAACTCCATTATTAAGATAGTTTTTCATTTAATGGATGTGTTTAGTCTGCGGCATATTTCTCGGCAAAAGCAGCTCATAGTTTTATTTATGCATGAGAAAAGTTATAAGTATATTGTTGAGAAAGAGCGAAAGGAAGATTGAATGCTAAGATTAGGTCAAAGGCAAAAATGTTTTGAAGAATATTGCATTTCCACAAGTTTTTGAGATAATTTTTATTCGTATTAAACTGGAACAGAAATATGTGTAACAATTCAGTCAGGTTTGCTGATCAATATGTATACTGGAGGTTTGGTGATACATATTCTATGTATTCACTTCTTTGTATTCTGTTTAGAATAGTCCGCAAGGGTTCTGCCAAAATATGGCAAAACATTCTCAAATAAACCTAGTAAAATCGCGCAAAGATCCTGTTAGAAAAGTGGTACCATCCCTGAGGAAATCTAAACAAATGCAACAGAATGTAAATCGAAATTTCTTCGATTCGGAATCACTGAAATCCTAGCGAATTCGTGATCTAAAAATAGTATGAAACTGGTCATGATCATGATAGACTCTTGAAACTGCGTCGATACATACTTTTTTCAGGATTTAGCCATTTTCTCCGGAAAAAAGTGCATTCATGAAGGGTCCGAAATGGACTCGTTAAGAATGTGGCACGAAAACATAAAGGGTTATCCCTAGGAGATTGCATACAACCGAAAACTCTTAGAATAATGCGAAACCTATAAATATTAAGATGAGCGTCCTGTACGTGAACTAGCTGGTCCGTGTTTGTTCTTTCCATAACGTTCTGAAATTGTTTCTCAGAGTGAGGGGACTGCTTTCAAGTGATACAATAATAAAACTATTGAATACTTGTAATATCTCGTTATGATAGAACAAGACCTACGACAATCTTAAAAGTTAAACCAGTTTAAGGATAATACTCGCTCTGAAGATTCCTTGTCCTATTTTTTTTTTCACATATATTCTCAAATTAACAGGTGAGTCAAGATAAATCAACTATGGTTGTTTTCTTGATATGGTTGGTGGCTATGGCGGCACACTCGAACGTTAAATGCAGACGAAATTGTTCCTTCTAATCTAATTAACTTAAGACATTCATCCAGATGAATAACAGAAGCTCTGTGGTTCGAATTTCAAGCAGGATCTCTTTTTCATTATCCTGAAGGCTTATATGTTTCCTTACGCTGGAACTCGTCATGACTCAAATTTGCTACTTACAAATATGTCTGTCAGTTTTTATTGTATCGTGATAGATTTAAAAAAAAAAAGATCCACCGTTGAGATCTCTATAAAGTCCTACACAAAAGATCAATACAAATATAAGAGGACAAAATTATCATAATAATACCATGAGAATATATCAATAATGACTTTCAAAGTGTTTTCATTAATACTGGCTTGCGTTTCTTGTGAGTACTGAAGCAACATATAACGGTTCTTCATAGAGCGTTTACTCTTCAAAGAACTAATCTGTGTCTTTCATACTTTATTTCACTATTCCCTATATAAATTAACCGAAGTATCATTGTTTCAGATTGCGTCTAGCTTCACATAGTATCATTTAGTGGCATTGACACAAACCAAGCCTTGCTCCAAAAAAAAGACTAGTATAAATTGCTTACATTTTTCACAAGCTTGAAAATACGATGAAAAACAGGAATATTTTCGAAAATTTATGAAAACTAACATTTATGTACACTCACAAAGTACATCTTTCACAGGTGAACACAAATGTTTGCTTAGTTTGTCCATATGGTTTGACACTATGAAAATTCAAAGAGATATCGAGCGAAAAGCTAAGGGATTATTTATGCTTGGGCATCGTTATTTTCTAGCACTATGAGCATGCTATAGGGCATAACAAAATTGACCTTCTTTTCACTTATGATCGTTGGATGAGCCCGAAAAATACACAACAGAATTCCAGAGATGGAGACATCTCAAACAACCGTCCTTTTGTCAGTCCTGTGTGTTCGTTTCCTTTTTGTGAAGAATCTTTTGAGATTTTTATCTTCATCGTAGAATTTGAACACTGGTGTATTAGGAGGCGGAGGTTGTTTCCGAAACCTGCCGGCTTGATACTTGTGGATATCACAAAACAGCTACCATCCAATTAAAACTATTTACGACGAAGGCAATATCCTAAGCATATCCTTCTCTGACTTCAAATGCTAAAAGAATACAGTTCTATACAATGTTTTTCTACAGTGGAGCTCACAAAAGGTATTGACAGTAGTTTATTATAGACACTAAGTGGACAGAGAGACATTTGAATACTAAATGGCTGCTATTCATTCCATACAGAACTTTCCAAGATTTTTGTTGGTAGGAAAAAAATTACTATGGCACACAAACAATAATATAAAAGCTTAGAAGGAATATTTCTGAGTGGTCTGCCCTGTTTGCATTCATATTGTGCCCATATGTAGGGAATCATTACAATAGAATAATGGTCAAAGGATTCATGCTCTCGTTGAGATTCAGTCAAAATTTCTAGTTTTTAGTGAGTTTTTTCTATATGGTGTTAGGTTTTGAGTAAAATCATATTTCGAATTTTGATGTAAAACTTTTTCAACATAAATGCCTTGCTATGAATAACACATATTCAAAGTTTTATCATTTTTAGACATTCTATTTTGAAATACAAGTTCTCCAAAAACGTACAGTTTTATGGATATATACAATCTATAGCATTCATATTTTGAAAGATTCATTTGTCAGTGACCCAATGTTCAAGAATGATGAAACTTAATGTAGGCGACGTTAGCAATGTGCTGTATTGAATGATTATAACCCATTGACGGTTTCTCAAACTATTCGTTCTGAAGTCAAAAGAAACGGATTTTACTCGATGAAACATGCAGAACCCATGTAGGAGTTTCTGCTCTGATTGAACCAGCAACTGCTCCAGGTTTTCTCGCTTGTGGCCCAAGGTTAATTGTACTTGATCTTTTTAGTAAAAGCAAGAAAAAGACATGGGACAAGTCGTGAACGAATAATGGCTGTGAGTACTTCCGAAGTTCCCTATAGTCTGAAGGGAGAAAACATTACTTCGTGAGTTGAAAGGAACATTGGGAGATAACATAAATCTGATCTTACCATTTGATAGAGCATGTCAAATGCTATGTGGAACACAAATGAGAACATCTGAAACGCGTCCCGAGCGAATATGGCACTCTGAAAAATAGGAAATTTGCAGAACCTTTTAGGTCTCTAACAGGTTCTGAGTTTTACTTTACAGAAAAACTCCTGCAAAGTACCCCGTGTAAGAAAAAATAGTTCTAAATCCCTCTGCAAAAGATTTTTTTGCTTGTTCCGAACCGTTTTTCAGGGCTTCTGATACTAGGTAAAACGCGGAACTCTTAAGAAGCCTGAAGAGTCTGTACACGTCCTTTATTTTCTTCAGAACAGAAATTGCTTGCATCTGATACTATCTTCACGAATGTTAAAACTTCATATATGAGCAAGTCATAGCGAAGCTTTAATGTTGAGAAAGGTTCAGATCGAAATTTGAGATATGATTTTACTTGAAAACTAACTTCCTATACGAAAAAATCCACTAAAACTAGAAGCTTCACACGAATTTCAACAAGAGCACGAATGCTTTAATGATTATTCTAGTCTTGTAGCCCGCTATACATGGGTTTAATATGAATGTAAAGGCAGCGTTATTTCGTTATTGGTATTACTTAAGGATAGAAAAATCTTCTAAATATTGAGAAACTAAAAGGGCCTTAAAAAGAGACTGCAATGTCAAAAGACTTACATTTGCTTTGTGTATTGATGCAATAATTTGTTTGAAGACGAGTATAATACGTTGGTACTGTATTGACGTTGTTTAGTAAAGAAAATGAAAGCATTATTTTGCTTATGTGCATATCGAAAAAATGTTTGGCTTACGTGCATTCAACCGTATACGTGGTATAGAGCATGGTCATATACTATTGAGACACACTGGGTTTTTTCTCATACAAATATTGTCATTCTTTTGCTTGTTCTATCACTTATCGATCAGACAACTTGCTTGACGAAGAGAGAAAGTTAATCGATGGTCGGAAAAAATGTGCATTATACCATGGCTTTATTTGTTTGTCTTCCTATCGTTGCACAGAATAGGTAAAATATGAATGCTTCACAAGCAATAGTATGCTGTTTAATATCGTTGATCCTGTTAAAAGCCAGCTCAAATATCCCGTCTAACTATGACAGAAAATATTGATTTTTAATACCATTTTTGGGGGTATTTTCTGCTTACAGTCATGTTTCTCGTCAAAGATGGACGTCTCGATGAAGTCTTCGACTCAGGATCGTTTCTGATCCCCGCAGAAACCAGAGACTTACTTTCAGCAGCTGCCTCAGCTACCATCGTTGTATGTATCCTTGTTTTGATTAAGATTTCTTTTCCAGTCGTGATTTTCGTTTAAGTCGCAGTTCAAATCGTCATTCTGCTATCCATCTCGGTGGGAAGTGAACTTCAGACACAACTCACACTCTCAGCCAAGATTTAGTTACATTATCAACTTCAACCTTAATATCAAGGTCTATCGAACTGGTTGTATTAGTGCGGGCTCTGCCAAGCCTAACTTCTCGTCCAGCTTTCACTCGCTGTTGTGTACCATTCTAAAGTTTTTCACAGATCAGTACTCATTTTTACAGCGGTTATAGTTGATTTTTGTCCTCAACTTGGAGATATCGGCTTCAGATTGTACTTCGAATTGGACCACATTCTCAATTAGAGTAGCAGCTTCGAAACCTAACTACAGTGCTCGTAGCAGACGGGTTTTGCGACCACTACTCTAGCTCGGCTTCGGTACAGTTCTGGTTTTAGAACTGTACCCGATAGCTCTCCAAGTTTCTGTAAGAATCTTGTAAGCCGTTTACGATCCTGTTACGCTCGAATTCTCTCTTACAAGTAAACATTCGCAGCTGATACGTACCGCTCGTGCCCATGTCTTGTTGGTGGTTGAAGTTGATCATGTATACAAATTATCCAAAAGGATTCGTACCATTGCTGCTTGGTTTCAGTGCGAAAAGGAGAACAAGTTTCATGGTAGGTAGTGCCACCTTCTGTGTGTCAATAATTTTTCTTTTCGTACCTTACCTAGTAAATACATTTTTCTACTAAAAATTTGATCACTAACTTATCTTTTCTATGACTCTTCACCCTGAAAATCTTAGTTGAATCTGACTTTGTGTCTGAGATACAAAACATTTCTTATTTTCTTTTTTCGATAAGCGCTTTTATTCTTTTCAACCTCAAGCCCAAGGAAGATTTCTACGGTTTTCTTTGATTTCCTGTAGAAGAAAAGAAAATGAAAATGAAAAAACAGTTATAGTATTTTGTCCTTTCACAAATAACTGAAAAAGCATACAACGAAACCAAGCCAAATGAAATAAACGCTCGAGGAAGGGTACTGGTCTATGTGTAATGATGATATTTTTCAAAAAAAGTGCATGAAACAAAGCTTCCACCTTCAAATAGAAAATTAGAAAACTTCGTAGGATACAACAAGAGGATTCTGTTCTATGCAGCGTAAAGAATATTTTTTTCTTCGACGACAGTGCATAGCGTGTTATTTGTTTGAAATAGAAGAATCATTAGAAGAATCATTAGAAGAACTCCTGTTTTCTTTCGTCTGAAATCCAAGTCAGATTCAACTAACAATTTAAGGGTGAATAGTGATAAACAAGATAATTTACTAATCAAATTTTGAACGGAAAAATGCATTTCCTAGTAAAAATACGAGAAGATAAACAAATAACTCAGAGAAGCCGGCGCCAACTACCACAATACTTGTTCCGTTCCGAATTCTGAAACCAAGCGGCATGGCACGAATTCTTTTAGATAATTTATATACATGATCAATCTCAACTATCAACAATACATGAGCTCGAACGACACGTATTAGTTGAAAATATTTCCCCGTTAGCATGTTGCTGGATTGCAGATCTCATTCTAGTCAAGGTCTCATCTTCATAACAGTTTGGGCTTCAGACCCGATCCTTGTGACATAGGTCCTTACCTTTACCTTATATCCTACTGGAAATCAGATTCAATCACTCAGTGCCAGTTTTATGTGGTGTAGAAAGCATCCACATCCATATTCAGTGATCATCGATAATTCGAATCTAACTCATCATCGTTTTTGCATTTTTCTGTCCATGAATGGATAGCTTGAAACAATATAAACACTATGACCAAAAATAGAGCACATGCTTCTGGGCTTCTAATTACATTTACCGAATAATATGTTACTTCATGATATACTAAAAAGTTTATCTTCCATCAAATTTCGTGCTACTATTCAGCACATTCAAATATTTAACATAGAAAATTATTTATTTATTTTTTGTGTTTATTAGCAATTCATGTAGTTTCATACCATTAGTACTTTTTCGGCTTTTTATTAATAAAAGTCAGAAGAAAAATAACTGATGTTTGAGAATATTATCTTGAAGGTATTCGTCAACTACTCAATTTTCAACCAATCAATTCAAGGAAAACTAGTTTAAAAACAAATAATAAAAACTGACAGAGCCTACATGATGATAATCATTATTATCAAGAATATTAATGTGGATAACAATTATTATAAAAACATGCATAGACCTATGGAACTTTTATGATATTCTAGCATCAGAACCGTGACGGATATGATCACGGCCGATAAGCATTCGCTGTTTTTTGCGGAGAAAACGGCTAAATCCTGAAAAATATGTGTAGCTACAGAATTGTAGAATCCTGTATGTATTTGAATGATTCCAAATTAGAAAATAATTCTGGTCGTCCCTTTCAGAATTTGACCAGGTTTCCTTGAAGATATTATGAGTTTCTTGGCAGGATCTTTTCAAGATTTTCTAAACAGAACCAACAAAAACTGAATGCATGGCATATCGATCTCAATACTTCAGTTTACATACTAATCAGCTGCATAAGCCGTGTCATTCTATATCACTGTCACCATTTAATATCTTAATTTCTTACTTTAGTGCAAGCTTCTCTTTAAATTCGAGCCTGCCGGGGAGGTTTTAAAACTTTCACAGGAATCTATGTCTGTCTTAAAAGTAGTCGGTAGGAGAGTCTGAGCTGCCAGTAGCCACCTGTCGATAAGACATTACATTTCCTATTTCTATTACCATAAACAACAACTGATTCTTAAACAGTTAAAGAGGTACAAGATAAAAGTGGCTGCATTATGTGAAACAGGTATATATGAGTCAAGAATAAAATTAACAAGTGATTTTACAATGATGTATTCCAGACTTCCGAAAGTTAATAACACCAGATAAGCACATGGTTTAGCAATTTGTTTAAATAAAACAGCAACGAATATTCGGAAATCATCAGGTTCAGAATGGGAGGCAGTTAATGAAAGAATTATTACGACTCGAATATATGGTGCGCCAATAAAATGTAACTTATATTTCTGTTTATGCTCCAATTAATCGATGTAACACATCTATGATCGATAAATGTGATCAATTTTATTTACAATTACAAGAGATGATCGATAAGGTGCCAAAGTATAATATGATTATTTTAATAAGCGATTTTAATTCTCGTGTTGGTAAACAAGAACATTTAACTATACCCCAGATTGTCAGCCCCTTGCAACTGATGTTAAAAATGAAAATGGCTTTAGACTCACCGATTTTCGTTTTGCAAATGGTATAGTTATTTCAAACATATTTTTTCAACATAAGACAATGCATTAGTGAACAAGAAATTTAAATCAAGTATTGAAGGTGTGCGAGTTTATAGAAGAGCAGCCGGAAATATTGGAACTGATCATCATTTTATGCTATCTAAAATTTAATTGCATTTGAAATTAAGAAAAAGAAAGTTCCAACAAAATAAGTCACATTTAGATCGTTTCAACTTGCAAGATGAAAACATAGTTAATCACTTTCAAAATAATATTGAAGGAGTTTTTGAAGATAAAAAAGATGATGATGATGCTAATATTAATTACAAAAAAATTCCACTTTTTGTACAGTGTATTAAAGAAGCTGCACAAATGCATTTTAAAATAGACAACAATACCAACAACACGAGAAAAGAATAGGTAACTGATGATATATTGAAGGTAGTAGAGAAGAAATCATCTGCTTATTTGATATGGCAGAATTACCAAGCTATGCCAAAAAAAAAGAAATATAAAAACCAATACGTAATTTATAGAAGATTAGTTAAATCAATGGTAAATGAAAGACAAATTGCATACTGAGATGAATTGAGTAAAGAAATTGAAACAGCTATCCTTAACCATGATTCAGCATCTACTTATGCAATGATTAGAAGATTGAAAGGTGGATAACAAAATTCAAAGAACAGTGCTGCTCAGGATACAAATGGAAAGTTACTTATCAATTCTATGGATAAATTGAATAGACGGAAAGAATGTTTCTATGATTTATTAAATATTAAATCTGAATACTTGTACAAGATAACATGGATTTTGTATGTAAATAATGCCAATGAGTAAAGCAACAAAAAGAAAAACATTTTTTTTTGTTGATAAATCGACAATTGATTTATTTATTGTATCAATTCTAAATAAATAAATTTTACTAGAATTTTTTATAACATGAAAAAAGAAAAACAAATTACAACAAAATCAGTCAAATGTTCTTTTGTTGGTTGAATTTTCGACCTTTTTTTTGAGACCATCATCAGAACCAAAATTGTTCTGTATTTGAATGTGATGTTGAGCAAATAGAAAAACAGTTACTGCGACATGTACGGCGAATAACAATACTTATTGTAAGACCACTAACATCGAGACTGTATCACCATCATGATAAATATCATTGATAATAATTAGTACAAGTCCATTAACAATAACTATAATAGATACACGACCAGTAAC